GAGATTTTCTTCTTTGTGTAAATCCGAAAACATCAACATTAGTAGCTACACATTCCCACGATTTTTTTTTTTTTAAGGGGGAATTTCCCACATTATAAAAAAAATGGATTTGCGGATCAGATAATTCGCTATTCCCACTTTTTAGCAGTGAATTTCAGCCCCTGATTATTATAATAATTTCATTGCCTAAAATCATATTGAAAAATTAGCTGTCAATCAATCATTAGCTGTAGCCCTTGTGAATACCCATGTGTCTGTTCAGATCCCCTGGTCGTGAAAATGCTTTACTGCAAACACTACAAACAAAAGGTTTCTCTCCTGAATGAACCCGCATGTGACTTTCAAGATGAATCTTTTGATTGAATCTACTTTTACAGACCTCACAACTAAACGGCCTGTCCTCCGAGTGAAATCTCACATGTCTCTGTAGCTGTTCTTCATTCATAAAACATTTACTACAACTGCTACAGCTAAAAGGTGCTGTATGAACCTTTATATGACTTTTTAGATATACCTGCCGGGAAAATCCTTTATTACAAACACTACAAATAAAGGGTTTTTCTCCCGTGTGAACATACATGTGGCTCTTTAGATTCTGTTGCAGAGAAAATCCTTGGCTACAAATGCTACAAATAAATGGCTTCTCTCCCGTATGAACACGCATGTGACTCTTTAGCGTCTCTTGTAGTGAAAATCCTTTACTGCAAAAACTGCAGGCGAACGGTTTCTCTCCTGTGTGGACACGCATGTGCCTTTTAAGATTCTCATGTCTGGAAAATCCTTTACTACAAACAGTACACATAAAGAGTTTCTCTCCCTTGTGAGCATGCATGTGAGTTTCCAGCCTCTGCTGCAGTGAAAATCCCTTATTGCAAACACTACAAACAAATGGCTTCTCTGTGGTGTGGATCCACATGTGCCTTTTAAGGTTTTCATTTCTTATAAACCTAGTACCACAAACATCACAAGAAAATGGTTTTTCTTCTGAGTGGACTTTTAAGTGACTCGTGAGATTACTCTTTGCATGGAACCTTTTACCACAATTTTCACAGGCAAACGGTCTCTCTCCTGTGTGCCGTCTCATGTGTGTCTGAAGAGCGCGCTTTATCTTAAATCCTTTACTACAAAGATTACAAATATGTTCTCTCTTTTCATTGTGAATCACAACGTGTAATTTGAAGTTAGTCTCACGTTTGAATCTTTTGCCACAAATATTGCAACCAAATGATTTCTCTCCTTTATGGATTTGGCCCTGGGCATTCAGCTTGATGCGTAGTTTAGATCCTTTACCCCTTCTGTGAACTGTTATCTTACTTTTCTGATAGGAACACACTGGATCTGAGTCGAAGTCTAGTTCTGGACCTCCACAGTATCCTCCGTTAGGTTGTTTTTCCATCGGATCAGCTGAACTGAGGGTTGGATTTTCTGTCTCTCTGTTGTCTTCACTTTTGATTTGATGAAGTTCTAATAATTGAGGTTTCGCTTCTTCTGCACTCTTCACAGTAAGCTTCTCTTCCCCCTCGCTGAGCCATAGTTCCTCCTCTTCCTCCTTTATGCGAGAAGGTTCTTGGTCCTGCTGGTCCAAACTGGGGGAACAGCCATGTGTATCCTCTTCTTTAATCACCAGCATCTGATGAGCTGGAAATATTGGAAATAACATAGACAAGCTCAGATTCTTATTGGGAAGGCAGTTAATCTAGACCACTTTATTACAGGTGACAAGAGATGGAAGATTTATTTTTAAGGCAGGTTTTTAGTTTTATACAAGAAATAAGCAGCCTTACTGAATCAGTTAGAGAGTTAAGACTTGAGATGTAAACAAACATTACAATCTTCCGTATTTCACGTGTTGGTTTTACAATTTAGTTGCTCTTCCCATATGCAAACTTAGGGGCCAGTTTTAATTTTTATTGAGCAGGTAAACCTACTTTTGATAAAACCTGAATAGATGTTGCAGTTTACTTTTATATTAAAGTTGTAATATTCTGAAGTAAAATACAATAGCATTGGAAACAGCAGGTAAACCTGTTGTTAAATAAGAATTGCACGTTGTGCACTTTAATAAAAAAAAAAAATCTTATTGAAAATAATACCACAAAGTGGTATTGATTTAATCTGGAGTGTGTTTTCCATTATATATTTACTACATGTTTATTTATGCCTCTATTTATCTAATTATTTACAGTTAATTTAAAAGAAACAGTAAAGAAGTAGGAGATGTTACCTGCTTTGTCCAGTATGCAAGTATTTATTTCACAGTCACACTTGTTATATTTTTGGTTAAAGATTTACTGAATCCATGCATCCTGATATGAATCGAATCATTGTTAAAATGAAAAGTTAGCCCCCTACCACAGCTTCTATTTTTTACTTTAAATCAGAAATAAACATGTCACTCACCGAGGTCTTTTCTGTCTTGCATGTGCTCCATCTTTAATGGAAAAGGTTCAGCTAAGAGGGGAACATAACCTGGCCCTCCAGGCTCTTCTGCTTCAGTCTTCACCATGTCAGACATCCTTTACCAGGGATTCTCCTTTTCACAATCCCAGTCTGCACCTTCAAGGCAATATAACCCCTATCTTCTTTGTGATCATCATCTAACCCTACAGAAAATGTACACAGTAGCAGAGCAGAAGCGATGATGCAGAGTTAAGAGTCTGATGCTTTGGACAGAAGTTCTGGTTCTGATGTAATTTCCTCAAATCATTTGGTGAAAGACAAGAGGTGGAGAAGACATTCACAGTCGACTCGGTCTCCCCATCCAGACCTCGCAAAGTCAGAGAGAAGACTGGCGTTATAGCATTAAATCATTAACTTTTAAAGCCTTCTTTTTTTCCTCACGTTAGCTGCTTTAGCTCATCGGTGGCTGACAATGCATATAATTTACTGATCAAAACAAATACGATCCTGTTCTGCTCCAACCAGTATAAAATTGTCTTCGTGGTTCAAAACAATTAGATAGAAAGAACATTCTTACAGAGTCTGTCAAATGAGAGAGACATCCATTTACTATCCCAAATTAGCAACACAAGCTAACGTTTTTTTTTTGTTTTTACATCCGGGTTACTTCTTTTTTTTTTTTTTTGGTGGCTGGCACGCAAAGAAATGGTGCATTACCGCCATCAAGTGGTATGGAGTGTGGATCTGAACGGCTACTACCTACTTATACTGAACAAAACAAAACCAACAAAACCAAAATAGGATTCAAATCCTCTTAATTACACTGATTAATCTAACATAATGATAAAACAATTACATAACACTTATCTCTTTAGTTCTTTCTAAGGTTTTCTATTAAATTAAAGTGTATTCTTTCTTTATTAAGATTTTTAATCTATTCCCTCCTTTTCCTTCCATACTTCTTACAGTGTACCATAACATGCTCATTGTTTCTTGTTGCTCACAGTATTCATAGCTACCGGTGATATGTTTACCTATTTTGAATAAAGTACTGTTTAATCCTGTATGCCCAAATCTACGGAAGACGAATAGGGCCACTGAAAAAAAAAAAGTTAACTAATTTTCCAATTTTATTTTAGTTTAATATGGTAAAAAAAAAGTCAGAATTTTGTCTTTGATCTCAGAATTCTGACTTTTTTCTCAGGATTCCGACTTCAACTCAGAATTCTGACTTTTTTCTCAGATATCTGACTTTTTTTTGTTTGTTTTTTTGTAAAAATTAGTTAACTTTTTTATTTTTTCAGTGGCCCTAATCCTCTTCTGTACAAATCTAAGTCTTAATATAATTGTTTCTTCTCTTCCCTTCCTTCCTGCATACTCATTTCTCCCACTCTCCTCTGAATCATATAAAAAACACCATCCTTTCTGGTTGAGATGGGCAGATGCCTCTTGACAGGAGGCGTGTTAAGGTAGCTCTTCAGTTTGTATAAGTAGGGAAGAGGTTACCTGAATAAATCGTGTAAAAGACTTATTGCAAGCTATGGCTGGGACACGTTGGACTGGCCTCTGATCTCCATCTTCTGGGACACGTTGGACTGGCCTCTGATCTCCATCTTCTGGGACACATTGGACTGGCCTCTGATCTCCATCTTACTGGTTATCTTTTAAATGGCATAGAAAATACCTGGTGTCAGGGATGTTCTCTGTGGGATCTAAATCAGTGTAAACTAAAACCTTACATAAGCATAAATATACCAGAAAGATGCGAGCAACGCCTAGCTTTATGAAATTAATTTTTTTGATGGGAAGACTTTATCTTATACTTTCATTAGAGTAATGTAGCACACTGTCTGCGCCACGGACAGGCAGCAATCCAACAACTAGTGTGGAATCTGTCTGAGGAAAAAACAAGAAGAAGTGGAAAATAAAAATCATCAAACAAAAATTGAAGAAAGAATTGCAGAAAGATGGGATACAGAAAGTAAATGGAGATGGTTTTAGAAGATAAAAAAATAATTTGGAGACTTAAGAAATGGAAGAAGGATCAGAAGGGAGGAAAGGATAATAACAAAGCTATGATTTGGACACACAGGAGTGAATAGTAAGCTTTTTAAGAAAAAAAAAACCCATACTACAGGAAAATATGACCATTGGGGGGAAGATGAAACAACAGAACATGTTATATTAGCTTGTCAAAAATATGGAATAGGAAGGAAATTCATCAGGAGAAATTTAAAGCACATTAAATAAATATTACATATAATAGATATTTTACCCACACAAAAAAACGTAGGAGGTCTACTGCTATATAATCGCTATATATATATACTGCTATATAATTGATATAATCAATCATAAACCACACTCATCAATATTTATTTAAATATTTAATAATAATAGGAATAATTAGGAGGATTTAGAATTTGTAAAGTAACATTATAGATATATAGATAAATAAATAAATATAAGCATCTTTATAAATAGGGCCATTCTGATTCACACTCCTCACCAGTGGGTGGCGGTAATGCACACCGAAAAGTTGTTTGCCAACCAGCATTAAACGCAACAAGACAAGACTAGCCACACTCCTCATTGGCGGTAGTGCGCAACTTTAGTGTTTGCCAACCGCCAAAAAACCCAAGAAGAAGAAGAAAAACAAGAATCACAGCCTTTCATTGGTGGAAGACGACGAAGTACCCGGATGTGACGGTGTCGTTGTTGTTATTAATAATTGCTCAGTCTCGCCAGAAATAAACATTTATTTTATATTCTTAGGAGGGTACAATTAATGTCGCGTTTACGATTTAACCTTGTGTTTAACCAACCGCTGTGATAATTTCAATGAGAGCATGAATCACGGACCGTTTTTAGAACCAAGCTAAATGACTGAACCGTTATTCTACGTGGAGCTAATTCAGATAACAGCAGAGACTAGTCAGGGTTATCTACGTAAAAGCTCTTAAGGTTCTTGGTTCGGTGTTTTAAGAGGTAATCTATGGATTTTCTTTCTTAATTTTAAAAGTATCAGTCAGTCTCTTATTTGATCAAATGAGTTAGCAAGTCGGGAGTTAAGCTACATTATGTGCTAATAATCATTTGTCGTTTTTAATCTTTGTAATGTTTCTCTCTACAAAAGAATAATAATGGTTTTCTCAGTAGCTGACTGTTTTTTTGTGTAGAGTATCTTTTATTCAGAGATATGCTGAAATAGCAGTTATGGAGGAAACTTGGATGTTGATCCTTTGTGGAGAGCTGTCCAATTGGTGGGAGTTTGGACGTCTGTATTGATTAAAGGTATTGTATGATTGTGGCTAGATGTAATGTTCAGTAAATTATTAAATTGCCAGAAGTATTTAACCACTATTTTATCATATATATTTAGGATAAATGTTCTTGGTTCAGTGTTTTAAGAGGGAATCTATGTAGTTTTGACCACTTTGTCTGTTGACATCTTCCCTAATTCTTGTTAAGCTGAGGACTGAAACACCAGGGACAGATGCACAGTGGACAGCAAACGTCTCTGAAAGGTTTCAGACATCAAGCACTGCGGTTTAGTTAGATTCATCCATACATGCTGCAGAAAGCAGTACGAATTACACTGTTAGCAATGAAAGAAAAAGAAATAATAATTGGAGAATAACCATAGAAATCAGTGTTCTTTTATAACAAAAAAACCCCATAATTTATAATTATATCAGAATAAATATAGGCCCATCATATTTGTTCTTAACTATTTTAAGGTAGATGCAGTAAAAGTAGCTTCTGATGCATTTTATACTTAAACTACTTTGCGTAATTTTCAGAAGATATTAATATATATCAAAACTTTCTTTTGATTGTTATTAGCTGACCACCATCAAGCATATGTTTCCATTTCTGGTGCATCTCTATGCTTTATTTACATTTTCTGTTGATACGCTTATTTTTGTCTGACTCTGGTTTCAGGAACCTGAAAAAGAGAATATAGAGACTGAATGGCTGAAACCTTGATCTACTCTGACATATGAAGCCTGCAAACTGGGATTAAGAAATGAGTATTTAAATGGAGCGAGGATGTCTAAAATTATGAAGGTTGAGACAGATGATCCTGGGGGGCTCAGTTTGGCAGCATCCGCATCACAACTGGAGCAGGCACAAGATTGCAAAGATCACAGTAAGTGATAAACATATATTTTTTATGGAAAGGAGTAAATAAAGTGCTTCTGGGACACGTATAAACTCTGCTAGACTGTGGGAGTGAAAATCATATTTGTAAATATCCCAGCAGTTATTCCATTGCTTCTCTTAGTTAACTCAACCACATCCGCTAATTTTAAGCCAAACATCTGTAGCAGGGGAAGAAGTCATGTGGAGAATTTATCATTTTATTTGTATTTTGGAACATACATAGTTTGTAGCACTATTATTTATTTGTATTGTAATAGAGCAGTTAAACAGCAATCTGTTTTGTGCATTTATTTGTTCTGTCAGTCCAAATAATCTGCTTTGGAATGAAGTCAATTTGCATTGTCCCAATTAATAAAAATTTTAAGCTTTTATTTAATTAAGCAATTATTTAATTAATCAATAGTTGCAGCCCTAAATGCATGGGTGTTTTTTATGAGTGCAGTAATTGTTCGATTACACATTTCAGGCTAAAATAATAAGAAGCTGTTTGAACAGAATGTCAGGGCAGCAGAAGACAGAGTTCTCAAAGGGATTTTTTATGAGTGTAACAGGGTGGTGGAAGGGTGCTAAAGGGAAACAATCTGTGGCACCCACATCTTAGATTTTTGCCTCTTCGCTAATTATGCCCTTTCCCATTTCTTTATTCTATTCTCCCTTTTTATACTCTGAGGTGACATGCTCTTATAATGCACACTTTCAGATTAGCTCACCAAGGTGTTGTGATGCCTCACTTTATTTGGCAGGAAAAAAAACACTGACCATTGGCTGGTTCCACTTGACTGAACAGCTGTTTTGGAGACTCTACACCCCTGCTTGTATGTAGGTTCACTTGCCTACAGGTTCACTCATAGTGAGTCTGAGTCGAAGATGGACTGAACAGCGGAGGTAGACCCACGTTTTCATAGCACTGACCTCGGATCCACAAATAGACAAACTTCCTATGTGTATGTGCAAATAATGATGTGAATGTGTAAAAAAAAAAAAAAAAAAAAAACAGTTTGAATGTCTGTTGCCCTCATTAAAACTCAGAATAACGGCCTAAATTCAATGTAATTTGCACAACTTTCAGAGTAATGAAATTTCCTGGCGAGAACCCTGGAAGATTGCATCAGACACTGATGGAGATGCAAGCACTGATGCAAAAGAGGGGAAAGCAAAACATAAGCATACATAGCGAACAATATCAGTATTGCAATATTAATGCTACAAAACAGGCTTAATTAAGGGCAAACCAGACTTTTGCTCAGTTTTTTCAAAACAAATATCGGTTTGCCTCTGATATAAGCCTGTTTAGTGGTTGCCATGACTCGGATGACACAACTTTAATGTGGTTTAATGGGGCGACAGTGACTTTGGATGCAGGAGTTTGCTCGGCAACCGAAGGGTTTTTGGGTGAAGCCCCGTCTCTGCCTTTCAGTGTTGTTGTTTCCTTGGACCAGACACCTCACCCTCATTTCCTACTGAGGTGGTCAGAGGTGGCACCAGTGTATGGCAGCCTTGTTTCTGTCAGTGAGCCCCAGGGCAGCTGTGGCTGCAATATAACTTGCCACCATCAGTGTTTATGTGAATAGGTGAATGAGTAAATGTAGTGTAAAATGTTTTGGTCAAGTCTCCTGACCTAAGAAAAGTACTATATTAATACAGACTATCTACCAATGTCATTGTAAGTTTTCCTTTGTGTGTGTGTGTGTGTGTGTGTGTGTGTGTGTGTGTCCTGTATAGCCAATATAGCTATGGGAATCAATGTCCCAGAAAGCTTTTCTTTCACAAGCAGACCAGTATGATTGTTGCCATAAGGTTCTGCTTGATCTGTATATTAAACTTTATGTTATGAGTAAAATCATATACAACGGACATGGAAAGGGATGTGAGAAAGAAATAGAGGATAAGAGCTTAAGAGAGAGAGAGAGGGATAAGGAGACAGGAAATGATGCGTGAAAAGAGAGAAAATAAAACAAAACAGCATAAATAGACAACACATATTTCGCAAGATTTCGTAATAGTGTGCACCCCTA